TTGAATTAAATTTTAAATAATTTAAATTCATGGTACATTTAAGTTAAATCAAGGAATTTAGTCATTAGAATATGAGTAATATACAAGGTTCATTTTTAAAATATTAAGTAAAAAAATACCCAAAATAAAAATAATGTAATCCTTACGTTTTAAAAATTATCATAGCAATAAGTATTTGCATATATATACATATAAAATTTTGCATTTTTATATTTAAAAAGAATCAAAAATTTAATTTAATCAATAAGCACGCGAATATTTTTTATAAGTGAGTATATATATAGAGTATAACACTTAAATAAGTATGTATGTATACATGATTACAGGTAATTTGTACTTGAATATACTTGGTAAATAAATTTTATTTTTAGAATATTATAAAAACAATTTATATATTATGTACATAATATATAACTTTTAGAAATATTTGTAGGTGTAATATATATTAGAATTTATTAAGAATTTTATTTAGAATTTAACACCATCTCAAAAAAAAAAGAGCATAAATATAAAAATATATCAGTATACGTCTCAAAACATTTATTAGAAAATTTTTCCATATACTTACTTATATATAAATATAAAAATAAACAGGTATGTTAGTAGTATAACAGTTTAAAGTTCATACCATTTATAAAACAATTAAAAAGAAATGGAAAGTTGTAATGACGCAAATAGAAATATTAAATTTTTCGAAAAATATTTACATAAATAACTCAATTCATTTACGTTACTTATGGTTAAAATTGTCCAAGGATATATATTATAAGGATAAATATAAGAATATTTATTTATATATCTATATGTATAAGAAATTGTATTAAATTCTAATCAAGTAATTAACTATTTATATGTAAGGATAATATTGGTAATTATTTGTTATTTGTCTGAATTTAGGATCAAAGAACTCAATTGCAATATTGGAGTAAAAATTATTCATTCTATGGTGGTTTAAATGCATTAAACATTCCTTTAATATTTGTAAATTATATGACAAACATTCTTAATTTTTAATACTTCAATATACAATAAATTTTGAGTGTGAATTTCTTTGAATATCACATTCAGAATAATTGAGCTTCTATAATTTACATTCATTCCTTAATATAATTATAAATCAATTGCTGCTTTGTGGAACTTAGAATTTCTCTAAACAAATCAACAAACATATGATATTTTTGATAACCATTAATAACTTTTATTTTATACAACATAAGTATAACAAATAAATGTATAAGAATATATTATAAATCTTTGGAAATATCTTAGTTAACTCTTAGTTAAATTTTTCTCTAAATAAAATTAATTTCAGAATTCAGAGCATAAACTGTTGATACTCAAAATAAATCGAAAATTGAAAATCCTATAGAAGATTTATTTATATTTAATATAAGTACATTAATTCATTGTTTGTTAATTTAGTCTATTTATATAGTCTATTTATATCATCAAAATCCCATCAAATAAAATTCATTAACAGTATATATTTATAATTTCTTCACAAACATCATTTATATTTTATGATTGAAAATTAAGTAAATAAGTATCGAATTTATATTTAAATTAATATCGAATTCATTTAAATAAAATCGATTTTAATTAATACTTAATAACATTTTTTATCACTTAAAACATAAATATATAGAAGAGATATTAATGAACTCGCGTATATATACCAATATTGTGATATTTATATACTTTTATAGAAGTAGTATACAGAATCGTATGCATATTTAAGTTTCGCACATCAATTTTATTTAAATATATTAATGATCAAAAAGAAATCCACTTTTTATATATACACATTTATTTTAATAAATTGAATTAAATTAAATTTTTAAAAAAATAAACAACTGGAAATTGTTAATTTAATTATTGATATAGTAAATAAATGTGGAAAAAAAAATAATATGTATAGCAAAAAATTAAAAATAAAAATTGTTCAGATACCTATAAAAAATTTAATTAAATTTCTTTGTATAACAAATGCATACATATATATTCAGTAGCTAAGTATATATAGCAAAATATAACATGCTATACTATTAAAAATCCTCTTCCAAACCTTGTATAACTAGCTAAGTATTTTACTTTTTATTTTTTTTTTTAACAAATAAATTTGCTTTGTAATGTTTGCATATCCTTGCATTAAAATGAATAGAAAAATAAATATGAATTTTATTTTATACTTATTAAAATATATAAAAAATGTTGAATATATAAAATGAGAAACAAAATTATTGGAGAAAAAAAAAAGAAAATTATCAATTGAAATTCCTGAATTAATTATTCATTAATTTAATCAATTATATTAGCTTTATATAACACCTTTTTCGGAAAAACTATCATAATTTATACATATACGTATAACAATTTTTTCTTTATATACTTAAAAAACCCCCATTTGTTTTGATATATATATATATATATATATATATAATATAATATTAGTTTGCTTTAAGTACTTAATATAAACTTATATATATTATATATATACATCAAAAGTATGCATATATATATAAAAGAAAAAATATTGATAGAATTATTAAAGAATAAATTAAGTATATTAAATATATAGGGTAATAATAATTATTATTCAATAACGCAATAACTATATTATATAGTTATACACAATTTGTTTGCATTTAATTAAATTAAAAATGACAAATAATACTGCATTTATTAAGTATATATATATATATATATATATATATATATATATATACAAACACACTTATTTATCCTTTCTGTTATACTTATATTAAAATATTAAATGTATTTTAAATTATAGTTATATATATACATTAAAAACCACTTCATTATTTATTAAGAGATTAAAAAAAAAAAAAAACAAGTCAAAGAATTTTAAAGTACCACAATCGTGTATACTTTATAAGTATGCATGTACTTATTAAATATATACATACTAACATACCTATATATACATATTTAAATAATCACATAGTTATATTTGCAGATTATAGTTATATACTTTTATATATAAGTATGCAAAAAAAAAAAAAATAATTTTAAAAAATAAAGGATATAACAGTTGTAGTATAATACTTAGTAAATTATATTAAAATGAAAGGATAAAGAAATAAATAAGTATGACCTAAAATTTTTAGGGTCATTATTAATTTATATATATATTTAGATAATTATACTTGAATTATATTATAACTATAAATAAGTACTTATATTGTATGTTATATAAGTAGAAGAATCTATATTTATAAGGGAAAAATAAATATTTAGAATGTGTGTTTTTAAATTATAATGTACTATACTCTCGCAATTAATTATATATACGTATACATATAATTATAATTTTCTTCAAGAATATTTTTAAATATTTAAAGAAATTCTAATATAATTCAAAACAAAAAAATTAATTTCATTAAATTTGTTTATTTTTTTGCAAAAAAAAAAAAATTATCTCAGAATTTTTTGCATTGCCAATTAAAAAGCAAGTGTACTTACTTTTTGAATTTAAATTGTTATACAATATATATAAGTAAGTATACAAAAATAATTGAATATCCTAAGGGAATATACCGAAAATTGTGTCCTAATACACGTACACTTATATATTTTTTTAAGTGTCCAGCAAAGTAAAAATTAAAAAACAGAATTAATGAAGTTTTTAATATTTGAACATACAAGTATAACTGTTATACTTGTATAACATATATATACTTAATATATATACTTAATATATAAATATTTAAAAATAATTGTATATACAAGTATTAATAAATGTATTCGTATGTATATGCAAATATTCTTATGCATTTTCAATTTATAAATATAAAATTATTTTGGATATTGTCTGATTATACGAGTATTATTTTAGTATTTATATAAAGAGATCATCTAAATCAAATTAAGTAATTATTAAAATAGGTACTCGTAAGTATAATAATTACTTCATTATTAAGTAAGTAATAACATTTTTGGTTTTAAATATCTGCAAATGACATAATTCTCTTTGTTTAATAAAATTTACTTTTTAGGTTCAATAATTTATAAAATTTAACAATTTGAATATATTTTGCTTAATAGTTAAGTATTGATTATTATACGAGTATTAATGGTATATTAATGGTTATGTACCCCCATATTATTGAAATTATTTATTTTCATATTAAGTATTTATAAATTTTATTAGATATTGAACAAATTTTAGAGATAAAAAATTCAATGATATATCAATTGAGTAGTACAAAGCAATAATTACATTTCTTAATTAAGTACTTTGCGTTGAGTAAATAAGTATTATAACTATTTATTTATATGGTCAAGATATCGAGAATTTCATAATAATGGTTAACAATATTCTATGACTAACTTTTATAATTAATATAGATAAACAATTACAAATCTGGAATATTCTATTAAATACTAACTATATTTAAGTACAATTGAATTAAGAATAAAATATTGAAAAAAATTATAATATTTAATTAAGTTTTTTAATAATTTGTACTTATTAGAGAATTAAAATTAGACAGCGACTTAAAATAATTCTTCTATTAAATCTAAATTAAGAATATTATGTAAATAATATTCTTAATTTAGATTTAATTCGAATTAAGCTCAAAATATAAATTCTCTTTACTTAAAATTTTGTTAATTACAATATAATTTTAATTTCCATACAAATTGAAAATTTCATATTTTATGACAATAAGGATTACTTAAGTATCGTAAGTAAAATGATTTTAAATTTGAAATTAAAACAAAATTCAGCCTTCTGAATGTTGTTATCCAGTACTGTAGTTCATCAAATTAAAGATGTTTTCTATATTAGATGTTTCAATATTGCATTTAATAAAATTAAGGTATGTGACATTAAATGAAGAAGAGCAATGACACTAAATAATTCAAGGACATAATATTTCTCCAATTTTAATTGATTTAATAATAGAAATTATAATTAAGTAAGTACTCGTATATCGAATTTAAAAAAATAAATAAATATTGTTTTTAGTATTTACCTCCACTTCTACCGCGTACAACACCTCGTAATACACCATTATTGTCCCTACAATCTAATGTTGATTCAAATTCATAAGGATTCATATTCTATTTTGTTTTTTTTATTTATATATATATTTTATTAATAGTATATATATGTATATATATACTAATAAAAATTTTTAATTTTGTTAAATTTATTAATTTAAAAATTTCATTAATGTCAGAAAAAATGACATTAAATTTTATTTTTTTTTTTTAACTTTTTATTATATTACAAAAATAATTATGTGTATTTTTATATATACAATTTGTTATATATTATATATTTGCTTATATACTTATATATACAAGTAGATATATATAGAATTTTTTTTTTATATATTTTATTTTCGAAAATGATTATTTATTTTATTTTTTTTTTTTCGTTATTATTTATTTATTTATTTTTAATTAATTTTATATCACTTCTTGTATATTTTTTTTTTAATAAATGATTTTTTATGTTGTTGTTTTATTTTTATATTTTTAAAAAATATAAACTAAGTGAATTATTTAAACATTTTTTTATGTGTTTGTTGTTTATTGAATTCATTTATTATATAAGTATATATATATATATATATATATTTGGAAAATTATAGTGATTATTATAAATAAATAATTAAAATTTTTCTCATAATATTATACTGTATATATATATACGTGTGTATGTCGTGGGTATATTTATGATATTTTATGTTATTTTTAATATTTAAAGGAAAAATAAAATAAAATATAAACAAAATTTATTTATTATTTTATTTAATTTTTTTTTTTTATTTATTTAATATTTAAATAATATTTTAATGAAAACATATAGAGAACACACACATTTAATACAATAAATCATCACTAATATTTTTTTTTATGTGTGTAAATGTGTGTATGTGATATATTCACATTATAAAAATTTATTTATTTTAATAGTTAAATTTTCTTTTAGATCATAAAAATCATTTATGTAGGTTTTGTAAATTTTGAAAATTTATTTATTTAATTTAATTTAAACAAATTTTTATTTATTTATTTATTTGTTTTTGTATGTTTGTGTAAAATCACTTATAAGTTTATTATTTTTCTTTTTTTGAATTTCTCGTTTTTTTTTCGTCTTCTATTAAGAATAAGTGCTTTTTTTACTTGTTTCTTTTAATTTATTTTATTCTTTTAAATTAAATTTATTTTTTTGTTAAATTGTTGTAATAATTTTTTTTCAAATTTTTAAATATAAAATATTATTTAAGAAAATAATTTTTAATATTATTAATAATAGAGTGATAGGTTATAAACAGTAGAAAATTTTGTATTTTTTGATAAAAAATTTAATAAAATTTTTTTTAAATATTTTGGCAAAAAAATTGATTTTTCCTTTTTTTAGATTTAGAACAAAAATTTTATTTGATTTTATTGTTATAAAAACAAAGGAAATTTTTTTTTTGGAGGATTTCCTCTTATTTTTTTAATTTAATTATTATTAAATGAAATTATTAATTAATTTTTTTTCAATTATATTAAATATTGCTGATATTTACTTGTTTTATTGAACTACTTATTCAAGTTTGTTTTGTTTTTGGAATTTTATTCATATTGTTTTGGAAATTTTTTCACTCAGATTTTAGAATATTTTTTATAATTATTAGAATTGTTTGTGTTGTTAAAACAATTAATAAAATTTTTAAAATAAATGCAAAATATTGTTATTTTAAATGCATACCTATATTAAATTATTTATTTGTACTTTTATTTTTTGTATTTTCTATTATTTCTCATTTTGTTTTGTTTTTTATTGAATATTTTGTGTTTAACATGTTTTTTTTTTTTCAAATTATTGAAATAATTACAAAAAATTGTTCAAAAATTAAAATTAAAATTGAACAAAACAAAAAAATAAAGACCGGAATTTTTAATTAAAAAAAAAATAAGGATTTTTAGAATTTTAAAAAAATTTAAAAAAAAAAAATTAATAAAAATCACACCAAAACTATCTTTTAACACATTTTCTTTTCTTTTTCATTATTTCATCGATTTACAAAAAAAAAAAAACAAAAAAACAAATAGCAAAATACCAAAATGTTTGATTGAATGTGTGACGACAATGGTATTTTTATATTTTTTGGTTAAAATGGAATTTTTCTTCCAAATAAAATTCTAAATAGCCCCCGAAATACCGAAACAGAATGAAACAAAAAACCACACAAAAATAAATTAATTTTTTTTTTCTGTTTTTCCAAAAATAGGAATTTTTTTTTTTTTTTATTGTAAGGAAAAAAATTTATTAAAAATTTTCCTTTTGTTTACAAGAATGTTTTTCTTTTCGATTTTTTGCTGCTGCTTTTTTCTTTATTGTTGTATTAATTATTGAATTTTTTTTTTTGCTTGCTTCAACAATGTTTTGTTGTTGTTTTCATTTTAAGGAAATTTTCACTTAAAAAAAAATTTTTTTTTTTTGCTTCTTTCCTTTGTTTTTTTTTTATTTAATAATGTGATGATTTATCATCTGTTCACTTCCTTGTATATTGTGCCTTTCATTGTGAATAAAATTGAAATTAATTTTTTTTTTATTTTGGCACAATGTGCTTGAGCTAGCGGTTGCTGTTACGGTATTTTTTCCTTATATTTTTTTTTCGAAAACACTTTTCAAATTTAAATTTAATTTTTTTGTAAAGTTAAAACTTTTATTTTGCACGTTTTAATGAAATTTTTTCAATAATAAAATAAAATTTTTTTAGACGAAAAAACACCAGCGTGTTTTTATTGTAATTTAATAACATTTTCACCACGACGATGACGAAATTTTTAATATCCTCATTTCAAATTTTTGTATTTTCCAAATAATATTGAAAATTTTTATAGTAATTTGTTTTCGAAATTAAACACAATCAAAATATTATAAATTTTTTTTTATTTTGTTTCAAAAGGAACTTTAAAATTCAAAAATATAAATATTTTTTTTGTTTGTTTAATTCGCACACACTTTTTTCATAAATATTCGAAAATTTTTCAAAATTTCTTTAATAAAATTAAAAAATATTCACGAATTTCGTATTATCATTTTCTTCGACTAAGGATAATTTTCATTTGCCTCTTATTACGATTATTTTCGTTTCACACAGTGTTGTATTAAGAGTAGTAAGAAAAGGGACACACAAGTAAAATATTAAAAGAAGAAAAAAATTTTTTTTTATATTTTCTTTCTTTTCTATAATAAAACGTTGTTTTTTTTTTACAAAAAAAAAAAAAAACAAAAACTCTTCTACTTTATTAAAAACCCTACTGAACGCTTCGACGCGACTAAGTAAACTGAATTCTTAACTTTGTTGTAAGTAAAATTGAAGTCATTTTCAAATAAAAACAAATAAGTAAAAGAAAACAGAGAAAAAAAAATATAAAAAGAGAAAAACAGCAGCACTAAAAAAAAAATTTCGATTTTCAAATGTTCATATAAAATATTTTCTTTACACATTCATTCAATATTATAAAAAAAGAGAAAAAAATAAAAAAGAGAAAAAAACAAACTAACATTCAAACCATACACAAACCATAAAAACCGTCCTATAAGTTTGAATTGAAAATTTATACCGAACTTGTATGTTTGTAAGCAGTATTTTAATGTAGGACAGATACATCGTGTTCATGTTAATTTTTTTTTTTTTTTTTTGAGAACCATCATACAGTGTGTGTGATAGCCAGCCCTATATTGCTTATTTTACATACATTTTTCTGTGGTTTTGGTTATCTTCTTCTTAATGTTTGTTTCAGCAAATCTCTTTTTTTTGCTTTAATTTTGTTTGTTTGATTTGGTTTTGGTCTCTTCTACATTATAAAAATTGTATTTATTATTTATTAAAAATGAGAATATGCGATGAAATGCGAACATTTTGCATATGTATATATTATATTGTTATATTTTGTAAATTTCGAATGTAAATAAGAAAAATATTTTGGAGTAAATTATCAATTTCGAAATTTAAATATGAAAATTAAATTATATTAAATAATATACAGAGAGACAAACATTCGTTTTGTTATTTTTCTCTCAATATAATTTTTAAACAACATAGAATGTATGAAGTTCTTTTTATACAAATAGTTCGAATTGAAATTTTTGTATTATTAAATATGGGAGAATTTTTGTTTATAAGAAATGATAATTGAATTAAAAATTTCGAATATGAGATTAATTGAATAAATAGATTTTGGTTATTTGAGTACCTAAACTTGGCAGACTTTAAACAGTTTGACTTCTTGTATGATTCAGTCAAATAGATGGAATTAAGTAAATGGATTAGATAGAGATTAATCGATGGTATATAGTAGTGCGTTTATGATTACAAAACAATAAATGAGTAAATATATAGTATATTTATTGTAAATAAGTTAAAGTTACTCATTAATCATTACTATATATTACTCAAATTTAATTTTATGAGAGAACTCTGTTCGAAAAAAAAATTCGAAATTAAAAAAGTATATTTTAAGATATTGCTTACTGTTGTAGTAACAATACGGTTATTATAAAATAATATAATACAAGTTTTTACTTAATATTCAATAATATTATTTTTGAGAAAATGTTCGAACTTCGAATGTATTCAAAAATAAATCAGCGAAAAAAAAATTGAGTAAATGAGAAAAAAAAAGAAGAGAATTTTTATATTTTCGAATATTAACCAAAATTACTTTACATTACTTTAGTAGCTACGTATATTGATTCATACCAAAAGTTTGTTCACTATTTATACAAAATTATCTGAGAAATTGAGTATTATTACAATTTGAGAAATTATTTCTTAGAAAATATTTTCATGTTTTCACTTTTAATCTTCGAATATTTTCGATCTCGCATTTTATAATGAGAATTTTATTTAAAAATTTTTTTTGTTGTAATGCGCAATTCAACGTTTTAGTTTTTTTTTTGTTCCCGAAATATGTCTATAAGATAAGATTATGACTTATGAGTATTTTTGTATGATTATTGAGAATAATTTAATGAAATTGAGATTTTAAAGAATTTTACTGAGAACTTGAGAAGTGTAATTGAGAACACTAAAAACAAAATTTTTAATTTCGAATTTTCGAAATCTTGAAATGAGTTTTATTTATTTATTTTTTTATTTAATATTTTGGTTGACTCTTTTGATATACTCATGTTTTTGTTCTCAAAATTTTATAATACAAGTAGGTTTGATGAACTATGAAAAGAAATCAAAACATTACAACAGTATTACGAGTATACATACTTGGATGTTTGTAATACAAAAAAAATCATCACAAGTTCGAA